ATTTAGAACTTACCTCGAGTACGTCCTGTGCGGTCTGAAGATATTCTCTAAGCATGGCCTCCTGAATGGCACGCCACTCTTGCCTTGGATCTTCGAGTTGTGTCGTCTCTGAAACGCGACCAATTAAAAAGAAAATAATTAGATACACCTTCGACCTTTCACAATTCTTCACAGTTATATATTTCTATTATACGCTATCGCAGAGTATCGAATTAACTTCCCGCAGGATTATACATTTGTTCAACTATTTACCAAAGGGTGAGATTGGAAAAATATTCAAAATATTGAAAAACCAATATTTCACCTTCTCTATGAGTACGATAAAAAATTCTACTCCACAACTTCCTATGTAAAAATAGAAAAAATAATTTACACGTCAAGTTCAGCAGAATATATCTCACACAACAGAAAAATTTATAACTCACAAATCGCGTTATATTATTAAAGAACGATTATTATTTTAATATCAATAAATAACGAATAGTGTACGTATAATACTCACGATTGACATGATTAATGTAGTATGCACCCACATGCTTATCGTAAGCTTCCTCCCACCCAAGTGGAAGCTCGTTTCCGATACAGTCTGCAAATGTTTGAGGTTTTGTATATCTGTAATTAGAAGAAAAAGAGATCTTCAAGAATTTGCAATGGCAAACAACATGTTTCAGTTATAACGTTGTTGCCATACTCTCAATTAATATTTCGATCTCGTTATGTATTTTCTTAATCTCGAAACAATTCCATCGAGTACAATATTATTATTAAAAAACCACGTGTTAATTTTTCTCTTATTTATTCGACAATAAATCTTTGCTACAACGTCAAGAGAACAGAGACAAACGTATTAGCAACAATTTTGTTATATTTAATTAATAATTTAAAAGGAATAAATATTCGTGGTATTTTAAATCGAACGCTTATGTTGTCATAAATCGATAGCAATGAGATCACGGAATGCTGATAATAAGGATATGACGTAATTTCAAGATACTTCTAAGGATTGTAGAGGGAAACTCGCGAAAGCAGAAATGAATCTTTGTACCAGAAGTTTATCGAACAATGAAACATCGTTATATTAAGATTGACTGTTTCGTTTCGAGTGCAACAGGTGTCACTAATTTAATTTTGCCAAATTTCGCTACTTCTTCCATGAATAGAACACGATAATTCTACGGTACTTTTTAACCTGTTAACTAACCTCACTTCTCAAACAAAAATTGAATCTCTCTAAGTGTATAATTAAAAATGAATACAAATTATAACTAATTGTTTCATATTTTAAGAACTGATGAGACCAATGACGAGTTTTCCCCAGTTAAAAAGTTAAGCTAAGTTTTGTACTTCCACTGAACTATCTGGTGTACAAATTAATTCGGTGCCTTCCTTCACAAATTTCAATCTTCGTTTATAAAAATATCCAAGATAATTTTAACGTTGAAAATTATTTCCGTTATTTTGGGTCACCATTTTTCCATTTATCAGGTGACTCGCGAATTTCCTCTCTGAAAAAATATGGCGGTTTTCAGTAGATAAAGTCGTCGAGACTTTGTGAAAAAAAAAAGGCACCGAATTAATTTCAACACCTGATATATAGATCGTGTATGCTAACTGTGGATGAATTTACTCTCTCCGCAACCGTGAACAGAAGTACAGGATGGTCTGTGTAACTTGAAACTAAACAATATCTCGAAAACTATGCGATTGATCTTAATCGTCATGGTATCGTGGGTTATGTAATATGCGTTAGGATTATTTTCCAATTACTCATCGTAGGAGATAGAACTGGAACGTTGTTTAAAAATCTTTTTAATAAAAGCCTCGATAAAATAAATTCTTTCCGTAATTTATTAGGCCGAATATGAAATAATTTATTATTTTTCAATAAACAACAACGACAATGACTAGTTTGGCCTAATTTCGTCCGTATTTTCACATCCTACATTTGTATGCGCAGTAGTGAATTTGTATCTTGCATACCAAAATAACCTAATCTTTGGAGGCCAACGACCAACTAGAGTTTATCAGTATGAAAGTAAAATGTAATCGTTAATCGACAGAGAGGCACGTGAATACGAACAAAAATACATAATATGTACAATGTAAAACATCGATGTTTCCATTTCCTAACTGTTTTTTACTATTCCATTTTAATCTATCTAATTTTTAGCACTTTGCACGACTGCTCTTTCTTACCTTCAAAATTTTTCATAAAAATCAAAAATCTGTAGTAAATGAAAAAGATTAGAATAATTCTCTATTTTAAGCAGTATGTGTATAAAGTAAGTGCTCCAAGTTATTTATTCGTTACTTCGTCGAATTTCAATTTAATTAAAAATTTACAGCTAAAATCTTACTTCTACCATCATTTTAGAAAAACTGTTCACCGTTTAAGACCGAAACTATAGTCAAGTTAAAATTGATTCAAGCTTAACAATTGTACAATAAAGCTCGATTATTTATTTAGCTACTTTTACCGATCGTTTCTTCTTTGTACTTAAAAATCTATCAATTATCGTCGTTCCATTTTACACTTTACACAATCTATTAATTTTTTATTCAAAGTTTCAGTTCCCTCTGAAATTCTCTGTTAAAAAATTTCCCTTGGAAAGTAAGTGGGTAAAATTTTGGAATTCTTCAGAAATTCGGTAATTAATATTTCTCTATCGCGAAATTACGTAAAATATAGAAAACGTTGAAATCTAAGGACTTTGTCTTTCTATACGTGTGACATTGGAATATATATTTCATTTTCAAAAGGTGAGATAATTTATTTACCGATATATCACTTCGTTAATGTAATATTCAAATTTTTCTTATTTTATTTCCATCACATACACACTCCCTGTATGTCAGTATGCATTACTATGGAACAGGAACACTTCATTTCACACAAATTGTGCGTATACCCTGTTGGTACAGCACAATCTATCGTACTATAATCAAACTTATGTAAATTACTTCTATTATTAGCCTGGAACGTTGCAGAAAGTGTGTTACTAGTACAAAATACTCAAATAATGGAAATTTCCCTGTACTTATGTAATTATGGTACACATTCCACTCTGACGTGTTACTTTTAATCGCAATAGACGTTTCCGCGAAAATGAGCATTTCGTCATTTGTCCAGTGAGTAAAATACGCTACAGGAAACGTACAATAATTAAGTCATCCCGCGAGGCGAAAAATATTTTAATAAATATCCAAAGAAATTTTATAGCGACGACATAATAATCTTACCAAAAGGAATTAAAAAAAGGCGTTTACTCGTATTTTTTCTCAAATTTAAAGGTCCCTTGAAAATCTTCGTCTAAATTATAAAATTCCATAACCTACAAAATGGCAGATAGTTGCGCCCTCGCGTGCCCATCGATAATGCACGAACGACGTACGTACATAATGCCAAAAATCAATCTAAAACGTTACAGCAACTTATCGCGAACCATTTCCATTGCTGCGACAATTTTCCAACGTACCTACGCGACTTCTAATAGAAACATCTATCGAACGACAAACGACAAAAGTAAGGTTATGTTAACCTACAACAAAATCTATCTAACACAAAACACTTCCATTAATACCCACGTTTAAACGGGCTCTTCCTTTCGACAAACCATCGAAACGGCCGTAAAATGCTCTAAAATTTCAAACACTGTCGACAACTACCGACATCCTGCACTCGGCAACTATGGCAAACGATTCAAAATACCGGTCGATATTACACAATTTCAGCGGCAATTCCTTAATTCCTTTTCCGCTGCGTGATTCACGTTTTTAATGTGCCCTTGGCCTTATCGCGGCGTTGTCCTACAATACGCAGGAAGAAGGAGGAGAAGGAGGGTCAAGAACGTACATCATGACGGTGGAATAACATGGACAAAAGGGAAGGGGACGCAAAAGAGGCAGGAAGAAGGGGGGGGGGGGGGATAGCATTGAGAAGGCGGCGAAGGAGGAACAGCGAACCAAAGGAGTTGGAGGAGGCTCGACCAAGGGACAAGTTGAACACTGAAAATTACATAAACACACACACACACGCACGCATGCACGCACGCGCACACTGAGTGCGTCGATAGAATTCTATTATAGTAAGGAGAGATAGAATTTGATTTGATAACGAGTTTTCGTCGTTTGTTCAATGGGATGTTAAACCCTTAACCTATAACAACGAATCAGACACGTGACAGAAATTCTGGTCGGGATAAGAAAAATTCATTGCAATCCTAACTTTCCTTTGAATTTGTAAGACTGAGGATTACCAAATGTGATTAATCTGTGACAGCGAAACTTTTGTTACCCGATACACAGTACCAAAACAATAAACGAGCGGGGTTAAACCTGAAAAATGAATAAGAGGTTAAACCCTTTCGTTACTATCGGCGATTATACAGGGGACATCTTGATTTTCTTGTTATTGTTGCTCACAGCGGAAAATGTTTCAGATGAAATTTAAACGGTGCCGAAGGGGGCATATTCTGGTGTTGTTAATTCTTTCACGAGTGGAAAAGTTTCACTCTCATCTCAAGCATATTTCGCTTTGAGTAATAATAACGAGAAAATCAAGATGTAAGAATCAGCTGGGACACTCTGCATAGGGCGTTTTGAAAATTTACTCGCACGCTATACTGTCGAAAAGCCTTTCGGTGCACTTTCATCTTAATTGAACCCTTTGACTAGTCACGCTACACATTATTCGCCAGATCCCCTTTTCGCTGAATATTTACTACTTTACACGAGTAAAATAAATAGTGTATAAACATAAAATGTAGCTCTCTGAGCGTCTGTAGGCGCCGACAGCAGTCGAAGGGTTAATTTCATCCTTTAAGCACTTCCCTAATTTAACGAACCGAATTTTTAAAACGATACGCTTCTCCAAGTTATCCTCCACGATGGAAGCTGAAAAATGATGTTTACCGGGCGAAATAACGACAGGAAATATGAAGCAACTTATTACTGTCACGTCTCTTTCAATTACACATGTATCACATGTATTATAAACTTACGAGACGGGACGGTGAAAACATCGTATTGTCGCAGACTGTTTAGATTCAATTTCCGATACTTCCTACGTAACTATGGAAAAAAAAAAAACAAGAAAAATATAACGTTTCACTGGAAACATTCTGAAGAAAAATACTTTCTTTCATATTCCTCTCTTACTTATACAAATTTACGTCGAAAAAAATTGATTTACATGTTATTAAGAGAAATTTCAATTTCGCGAAGCGACAATCTGTTATCGAGACTGACGCGAAATACAAATTTACAAATCAATATAAATTCACAAATAAAAAAAAATTGCCGTTACTTTTTCTTTTTCTCAAAATTACACGTAACACTTTTATTAATAGTATATAATTATTAATATACAAGGTATTCCGTTACGTACTGCTCTTCCATAAAGCATACGATCGAGAATGCAAAGTAAAAAAGAAATACCAGTAAAAGTGGCGTCTGAAAGATGAATACTTAATAAGATGTACAGATCGACAAAGCGAAGATGAGGCTTCTGACGTCACCGCTTGACCAAATGAGCGGAAAATAGGCGGTCGGGGCATCCCCGCTACTCTTACTCCTGCATCGCCGCCGCTTCAGGGGAAGTACAGAGTAGGTAA